GCGCGTGGATGCATCCACCAGCCTATAAATCTCCTAGCGGGGCTCTTTCCCAGCTCCAGGACGTTCCCCAGGGAAGAGCTGAGATGCAGCCTTTGCGTCAGCCGCGGCGGCGGGCTGCCCAGCGGGGCTAGGCTGAACCTCTCCCCGCATCTGCCAGCAGGTTGTTTGCAGAGGTCAACCCCACCGCTGCCGCCGGCTGCTCTTGGCTCAGTCCTCGAGGTACGTAGTCGGGGGAACATCCTCCTCACTGCTCCAGGGAAGGGCTGGCAGGGATGCGAGGAGGTGTATCGGCTGACAGACAAGGAGATAGTCCAGCATTTTCCTTCTTTTTTTTTCATTTTTAATTATTTTGCTTTTGCCAGAGTTTATTTTTCTCTCCCTGAGATAAAGATTCCTTAGGGTTTCTCGCTGATGCTTTTAAATCTTGCCGTGCATTTCTGTATCTGTAAGAGATTTCCATTTGTGCTGGGGATTTACTCGACACACCAAACGCCTGGGAAGTTACGGGGCAGGCAGCAGCAGTGAATATCTCAGCATGCTCCTAACTAGCCCCTGCCTGGCAGGTACGTGTGATAAGTGAAAAAAAGGGGGAGATTTTGTACCAATTATATATATTCTTTTAAAGAAACAACAAGAAAACCAACTCTCCAGACATCTCCCTGCTGTTCCCAGGGAATTTGCTGGGATAAGTGAGGCTATCAAAGAAATTAATTAAAAAAAAAAACTTTGAAAAGGAAAACAAAGAAAATACATTTCCATCTTACTTTGGGAAGTGGTGTTTGCATGGTGTTTTCAAACCTGACTGCTGCCTGTGTTGTTTTCTCTCCTAGACCCGTGTGCTGGCAGCAGGGACCAGTGATCCGCCTTGTCCTTGCTTAACTCCGTGCGGGAGAGAAAGGCTGCTGGCTGATCCCACCAGCCGGACCAGCATGACTGCGCTGCCCTGGCACCTGTACCTCACTGCCTTGGGCTTCTGGATGACACAGCAGTCCAGCTCCTTCCTGCTGCCCAACGCCACCGAGCTCCTGTCCCCCCCCGGGGGCAGAGCCGACAGCCGGCTGTGGGGCATGGGGGTCCCACGGAGCCGCCGGAAGCGATACCTCTCCCCCCGCGACATGAGCGTGATTTTGGACTACCACAACCAAGTGCGGGCACAGGTGTCCCCCCCTGCTGCCAACATGGAGTATATGGTGAGTCGGGCTCTGGCAGGGTGGTTTTGGGTCCACAGCTCTTGGGTGCTGCAGTGGGGTCGAGGGGCTCACCCATCATGTGGGCACCCAAACTGGTAGGGACAGGACACCCACACATGGGGCTGTCAGGGTGCTGCCCAGATTCATGGCTGAACATCTGTCCCCGAGGCCACTTCGTGTCCCTGGTGCAGGGCAGACCCATGCAGCCTCTGCGCAGGAGGGATGGAGTCCCAGTGGGGTGACATCTCCACCTGGGGGCAGATTTAGGACCCCTGCTCCCGTGCCTGGGATGTCTGGGACCTTGCTGGCTGTGAGGTGGCAGGATCCATCCAGCCGAGTGGCATAGGCAGCGTGAGGGCAAGGGAAGTGGCTACCAGCACGAAAAGCTCAGGTCCCAACCCAAAGCCCAGGTGAGAGCATCTCCCTTAGCTGCAGCTGGCAGGGATAGCCCCATCCCAAGCTCCAGGGTCCCTTGGGAGTGTGCACAGGCATGCCAGCATCTGGGAGAAGAAACATGCAGGAGTGGGTTGGGCACCTCCTCCAGACAAGGGCCATCCGAGGCAGAGCTCTCCCCAGGTTGTCTCCACTTGGAGCTCGGAGCTCCCGACCAGCCCTGAAGGGAGAAGAAACGGGGAGCTACCAAGAGGATGGATTTCCAGCCAGCACAAAGTGGGACCCAAGGACAGGAGGTGCCATGTGCTGCTCTGCTCCCAGGAAGTGGTCAGGGCAGCTGGGTGGTCCCTGGATGCCACTTTGGGAGAAGCATGTGGCAGCCCGGCTTGCTGGGTACCAGAGCAGGTCAGACATGCCACAGAGTATCCTGCGCTGATTCTTGCTTGGCCTAAATTCCTGCCTTCCAAAATAGCTCTGCCAAGCATCTCCCCCAAGCAGTTCAGGATGGGTGAGGAATCTTTAAATAATGCATGAAGGAGCCAGCTGTCTCGCGGGTCGGGCTGCGGGCAGGGCTGGGGCCAGGGCTGCGGGCAAGGCTGCGGGCAGCTGCGAGCTGCAGCACAGGGCCCTGGGGTTTCAGCCCTGGGCTCAGCTCCACCTTCCACAGAAGGAGCTCATTCCTGGAGGGAATCACACACACAGGGCTTGCACTGTTCCAGGGCATCCACGCTCTGCCTGGCCAGTGGGCACCCAACGTGCCCAGGAGCCACAGTGGGCAGCTGGGGGGGTTCATCACCCCCAGACATGCTGCCATGCTTCCCCTGGGCTTTTTCCAGCCTGCCGTGGGAGTCGTGTTTTTTGGACACCCATGGGTGCTCAGAAACCATCCCTGAGCCCAAGGGAGAAAGTTTCTCCTTCTCCCTCCTCTGGGCATCCAAAATCCCTGCCTGCCCTTTTCCTTTCCTCCTGGCAGGTGTGGGATGAGCGGCTGGCCAGGGCGGCGGAGGCGTGGGCTGCACGCTGCCTGTGGGACCACGGCCCCCCACAGCTGATGAAATACGTGGGGCAGAATCTCTCCATCCACTCAGGCAGGTGAGTGCCCCACAGGCAGAGGGGTCTCCTGGGATCCATGCTGGAGGAGGAGCAGCAGCCCCTTGGTTGAGGAGCAGAAAGGTTCTGAGCTGGGGTTGCAGAGGATCCAAGAGGATCAAGCCTCCCCCGGGGTGGAGGAGGAGAGTCCAACTCTTGAAGCAGGGTAAATGTGGGAAACCAGTGGTGCTCGCTGCTCATCTGGGGAGTATGGCATTAACCCCCTCTCTGCCGGGCACACGGAGCAGGGAGATGTGGGTCCTGGATTTCCACCATGCAGCTGAGCACTCAGGTACCTCCAGCAAGGGCACAGGTGGCCCTGGGCACAAGGAGACTTGTCACAAGGACCTCATTGCCCCTGCCCCATCCCGCTTCTCTCCCCCATCCCTTCTATGTGGAGCCTTCCTCCTCCTCCTCTCCTTTGCCCACCACCCCCAAGGTGGAGGATGCCCACCTTACGCACAGCACCTGTTGCAGGTACCGCTCCGTCGTGGACATGGTGAAATCCTGGCACCAGGAGAAGCAGCACTACTCCTTCCCCCACCCTCGCGAGTGCAACCCCCGCTGCCCCTCCAAATGCAGCGGCTCTGTCTGCAGCCACTACACGCAGGTGAGCACTGCAGCCCTCCCTCCAGCCCCCTGCAGCCCCCCAGGACCTGGCTGGAAAACGGGGGGCAGACCAC